CGCCCGCGCGGCCGCGCGCCGCAAACCGCGCCGCCCGCGCCCCGCCTCACGAGTTTACGTGCAGGCGCCCCTTGAAGTCCGACACCATGCGGCCCAGGCCGTCCCTGAGCGTCACCTTGGGCTCCCAGCCAAACGTCTCCTGCATCCTGGTGATGTCGGGCTTGCGGCGGGAGGGGTCGTCCGCGGTGTTCGGGCGGAACACGATCTCCGCCTCGGGGTTGACCACCTCCTTGACCACCTGGGGGGTGAGAGGGAGTGCATGGGCATGTGAGAGCTTTGTGTGTGTGACCTGTGTGTGGCTGCGTGTGTGTCATGCGAGCGTGTCTTGCACGACAGCCTGCGGGCCACAAGGTTTGCACGCACGTTCGCAAAGACCGCTCCCTCAGGCCCCGGCTGGGCCCCTGCTGAGCGGGGTGCATCCCCCCCACCATCCGCCTCACGCCATTGCCTGCCCCCCTTGCCGCAGTCCCATGGCTCCAGCTGCGCGCGGCCCCTCCCTCCCTGCCTTGCAAAGCTCAGGGCGCGCAGGGCACGACAAACCACGTCCACCCCGCCCCTCGCCCCCTGCCGCCCGCGGCCAAGGCGGCGGCTGCGATCGGCAGGAGGGGCAACGGCAGGGTGGACGCAGGGCCAACGGGGGCGGGGGCGCCTGCTCACGTTTGCAAGCTCCAGCATCGTAAACTCCCCAGGGTTGCCGATGTTGAAGGGCCCGATGAACTCGTCGCCATCCATGACCGCCACCATGCCGCGTATGAGGTCGTCCACGTACCTAATACCATACACATTGATGTTTTGAGGGGGTTTGGTTGGCTTTCGGGAGAACGCGGCCGGAGCGATGCGTCCTGATCCACAACAGCTGTGTGATGAACCGAACAGGTGGCTGCCGCACTTCCATCTGCGCGAGTCCAGCAGACCAGTGCGGCCGAGTGCACCGAGGCAGCATGTCTGAGACGCACGCATGCATGCATCCGGGCGCGGCACGCTTTGTACGGGGAGCAGGCTCTTGCACGGGAGCAGGCTCTCACTGGAAGCTGCGCGTCTGCTGGCCGTCGCCATACACCGTGATGGGCTGCTTCGTCAGGGCCTGAGTAATCCGGTAGGGGCCGGGGGG